ACAACGCCATGGCTCACTGAGGGGCTGCTCTGTCACCAGGCTCATCGCACCCTCAGGACATCCTGCAAAGTTGGGGTGATTGTCATCCTTCTGCAGGCTGGTAAGCCCTGCAAAGGGAAGTGAGACACAGCCTTGAAACAACACCTCCATTTGGGGGGGCTACTCTGTGCTGGTGGTTTAGACATACAGTCTGAAATCCTTCTAACCCTGCTAGAAAGAATCCATGATTATCACCATTTTAGAAATGATAAAACTGAGGCTGAGAGAAATAAAAGTCTCTTCAGCCCCACAACCATATCCCAGAAGGAATTCCCTTGGCCCCTGAGGTTTCATGTCCAACAACAGAGCAGGCGTGCACCTTCAGGGGCCCCCACACTGACCACCACCCTCCCCTTTTCCCTCTGAGATTCTTGACTTCAAGCGAGACCAGGGAGGAGTGCCCTCCGAGGGCCCAGGCCTGGGGACCCCGTAGCAAGAAGGGGGAGACACGGGCTCCTGACACCTGAGTCTAGAACATGAACTCTGTCCATGCGGGGCCCCCAGCATCTCCTAGGAACTACCTCCCCCTCCCCTCCTCAGTCTGCGGGGCCAGGAGTGGGCGTGCCCGGTGCTGCTGGGATGCAGGGGCCCCTCTTCTCTTTCCTTGCTCCCCTTCCCGGAGCTGCTCCCGCAGGCCGGTCAGTGAAGGGGCGACATCACAGCAACAGGGAGAAAAGGACTCCTGGGGCTTCTAAGTGCGCTGAGCCCTGCCTCATAGGAGCAGATTCAGGACATCAGGAGACACTGCATCTGTCTATTCCCACTTATAAAGCTAGCCTGGCAGCCACAGAGGATTTTTGTTTTTAATACTTATTGCTGAAGAACAAAACAGCACAAGATTTTAAACGGAAACTGTCGGAGCTTTCTCCCCACTTTGACAAGCACAGTGGGGTGTGCAGAGAGCTGGGTGTGAGTCAGGCTGCTTGCGGTTCCACCTTGGCCCCCTTACCTGCTCACCCGCCAGGTCCCCTCTCAGAGCCTCAGGGGCACAGATGGCCCCTCCCTCAGAGCACTGCCTATAGGCAGTAACTGCCAGGAGGAAGATTCAGCATCTGACAGGCTGCTACCCCCTCACCCCGTCCTGCCTCCCTCCTTTCTCATCCAGGGAATCATCTGGGCAGGTGCTTGGGGAAGAGGATGATGGTCTCCTGGGAGGCAGCAGGTCTGAGTGGGCTTGGAGCCAGTTCCCACCTGTGATTGGCTGTGCAGGGGAGGCACCACCTGGGAACGTTAGTGACACCCGCAAAGCCAGGATTAACCTTCCCTCCTATGTCCAAGGCTTGTGGGGATATTTCCTTGCAGCCTCAGCTCGGAGGGAAATTTGGCACTATCTTCACAAATCAAAATACACATACTCTCTTGATGCAGCAATGATACTTCCAGTGGGAATTTCCTCTTTGACGAGAGTGAGGCATGGACAGCGGTATCGACTGAAGTGCTGTCTTAATAGCCCAAGGTTGGGGACAACTTGGTACCCTTGAGCAGAAGACTGCAGAGGGAAAGACGCTCTGTGCATACCGTGTGCTGTTTTGCAGCTGCTGAGACCCTGGGCAGCTCTAGGTGCTGATATGGAATGAGTGACTTGGGATCATGTGGCTGAAATTAGGCAGAGGTTGCCAGTCACCTGGGGACTCAGGGTCTGAATGCAAGGAGCATTTCAATCCTAGGAAAGCTGAGAACCTGTTCAATGCTTTAATCCAAGGAGTTTTTTTTCAGCACCTACTATGTGCCAGGCTCTTTCTTCCAAGGAACCAATGTCCAATGGTGGTGCAGGAGGAGCCTGGACTGAATCAGCTGGGTTCTGTAACGATCCCATCACTCACTGGCCTTGTGAGTGTGGTCTAGGTCCCTGTCACCTCTTGGCCTCAGGCTCCCCATGTGGAGGTCGGGGGTGAGGCAGTTGGTGTCTATGAATCCTTCCTGCACTGACAGTCCAGTGTTCTGCAGTTAGAATGAGGATCCTGGTCCTTGGCAGAAAACCATAAAGGATCACATTTTCTACCTCGATGGGGCAGCAACTAAGACACCGACTTGGGGAACCTCTTCCCTGGGTGCGGGACATTCTGAGATGTGACAGCTCTGCTTGGAGCCTTCAGTGACTATGAGTTGATCCCTGAATCACATGAGGGTTTTGTGACAGTTCTTCCCAGGAAACACCCAACCTCGGGGCATCTCCTCCAAACCCGGCTGTCAGAGTTAACACTGAATGTCTGCTTCTAGCAGTTTCTTCTCAGTGTGATGTGTCTGAAGGAGAAGTAAAGTAACACATTCTACATTCTGCCCCCAGCCCTCGACAATTCCCTGGCCGGGATGGACTCTCCGCATTGGAAGGGAAGAGAACACAAGCTTCATGGGAGAAGAGCCCTTGTCTGCTTTGTTCACTGCTGCTTCCACGGCATCTGGAGCAGGGCCAGGCATACAGCAGGTGCTCAGTAAATGCTGAATAAAGTGAAGACTCGGCCACACTGAGGGGAGCACTCTCTGGAGGCAAGAGGTGAGGTCTGGCCTGTGACGGGCGAGTCACTCAGGCTTTACCTCCCTTGAGCTTATAATCAAATGGCTGGATGTGATTTAAAACACAAGGGCTGTTGAGCCAGGTAGCCTGGGCTTCCAGAGTTTCCATACTAATTACCAGACATGGGGCCTTGAGCAAACAGCATGACCTCTCCAGGCCTCAACTTCCCTGATCTGTAGACAGGAGGGAAATCAGATCACGACCCAATCATGATAAAGCGCCCACTGCTGCACCTGATTCTTAG